TCCTCTTGTAGACATTTTTCTAATACTAAAGTTGCTGTTAGATTTTTTTCAAGTTTTTCCAGTTCAATCTTTATTTCTTCACTTTTGGATTTGGTACGAAAGAGGTCAGAGGTCAAATCATTCACTGCAGGGATAAAACTGAAAGAAGAATCTGGTCATATAAATGGGCATTAAGGACAATCATTATAATTACTTCTCATTGCTAAAAATGACTTTATTGCTATGTAGATTCTTACATAACCATGCTGTTCATACCTTTATGCATTTTTTTACACACTGTTCCTATTGCCTGGAATGCCCTTCTTCATTTGGCAAAGTTCCAACTATTCCTTCAAAACTCAGATGGAACATCACCATCATCCTGGCATTGACCACTTCCTTCTCTGTGCTACCCAGCTACACTTTGTACATTATTGGACTGTTACAGCTGTCATACTGTTCTAGTTACAATTCCACCTCCCTTATTTGAATGCATGCAGAGATTGTCCTTGAAGGCAGTTACTATCCTATTCATCTTGCTTCCCCAGTGTTATACCAGAGCTATAGTAAGAAGGCACAAAACATAATGTTACTTTAAGTTGTATGATAGTATAAAAAAAAAACCATGGGCTGGATGCGGTGGCTCATGCCTGTAATCTTAGCACTTTGGGAGGCCAAGGCAGGCGGATCACCAGAGATCAGGAGTTCAAGACCAGCCTGGCCAACATGGTGAAACCCCGTCTTATAAAAAACAAGTAAACAAAAAAAAACATACAGGCCAGGTGCGGCAGCTTACGCCTGTAATCCCAGCACTTTGGGAGGCCGAGGTAGGTGGATCATGAGGTCAGGTGTTCAAGACTAGCCTGGCCAAGATGGTGAAACCCCATCCCTACTAAAAATACAAAAATTAGCCAGGAATGGTGGTAGGCATTTGTAATCCCAGTTACTCGGAAGGCTGAGTAGCTGAGTCTGAGGCAGAGAATTGCTTGAACCCGGGAGGTGGAGGTTGCAATGAGCTGAGATCACACCACTGCACGCCATCCTGGGTGACAGAGCGAGACTCTGTCTCAAAAATAATAATAAAAATATACATTAAAAAAAAACTCTAAAACACATATTATTTGTAAAAAAAAAAAAAGCAAGAGGTTATATATGATTCATCCTGCTTCCCCAATGCGTATACAACTAACATAAACTGGTATTTGTTATCTGCTGAAGTTACTTAATTCAAGTCTAGATTTCTGCTGCCATACAGTAGGAATGTTCTTACACCTAAAACACTACTCTGAGATTATATAGAAATTGCCTTTAAATTGACAAGCTGTTCTGCTGTGTCATTCTCCAATTATGATAAGTTGTATTAATATTAGTAGTCCTAGCTAAGATATGGCCAACAGTGATAGTCAGATGAACTTCATAAGACTGGTTTTGAATCTCAGCTCTGCCATTTACTAGCTGGGAGAAGTTATTTAATCCACACCTCCTGAACCTCAGTTTTCTCTAAAGGTTGTTGGAAGAATCATGTTATTATAGAAGTAAAATGCCTGTTAAAAAGAATGAAAATTCCTAACCTACTCAACAAATAGGTAGACATGAACAAAATTTACTATGCTCAACCAAATCATTTAGCCTACTCTCTTTCTCATTATACACGGGGAACAATGTGATACTAATCCCTTTCCAATTATACATGAGAACCACTCTTCATAAACCTATTCCTGGAAGAAAAAAACACTAAAAATTAACCAATACCAAATTCATCCAAATTAATTATACTCACTGGCAAAGATACGAAGTAACTAGATTCAGTGCTTTGTATTTATTGTCAATTTTTCATATACAATTATGCTAAGAACCAAAAAGTCTTTAAGACTTGCAGAAATTAAAAGAATTACCTAGCTAGTGAGGTATCCTTTGTTTCAAGGGCCACCGCACTGTCAACCAAAGCATTCAGATACCTGGAACTAGTGCTAGAGAGATTGGCAGGGGAAAAATTCACACTCTCCATGAGAAGGTCTTGAAGATACTTGGCTAAAAACATAAAAGAGTTCCATGGTGACTGTTTTCTTTTTTTAAAATTTTTAACAGCTTTAGCAAGACATAACTCATATATCATATAATCCACCCACCTAAGGTAAGTAATTCAGTGGCTTTTAGTATATTCAGAGTTGTATACACATCAGTACAACCCATTCAAAAACATTTTCATCACTCCACAAAGAAACTCTACATCCCTTAGTCATCACTTATTTATTTACTTATTTTTAAATTTTTTCTTATAGAGACCAAGTCTCATTAGGTTGCCCAGGCTGGCCTCGAACCCCTGACCTCAGGTGATCTGCCAGCTTTGGCCTCCCAAAATGCTAGGATTACAGGTGTGAGCCACCACCTCCAGCTCCCCTTAGTCATCACTTTCTAATCTCCCAACGTACGAAACCCTAGCAACCACTTCCTGTCTTTCTTCATTTGTCTATTTGGGACATTTCATATAAATGGCATAAGATGTGCAGTCCTTTGTGACTAGCTTAAGGTTCATCCAGGCCACAGCGTGTACCAGTACTTCATTCCTTTTATGGCCGAATAATACTCTATTATATGGACATATCACATTTTATTTATCTATTCAACCATTGATGGACATTTGGGTTGTTTCCACATTTTGGCTATTATGAATGCTGCTAAAAAAACATTCATTCAGTAAATGTTAGGTTTTGATATGAACATATGTTTTCATTTCTCTTGGGTATATACCTGGGAGTGGAATTGCTGGTCACATGTTAACTCTATGTTTAAACATTTTAGGAACTGTCAGATTGTTTTCCAAAGTGATTGTTTTCCAAAGTGATTGTATGATTTTACATTCCCACTAGAAGTGATGAAGGCTCCAATTTTCCACATCTTCTCTAACAGCTGTAATATCTGTCTTCTTGATTACAGCCATCCTACTGAGTATGAAGTAGCACGGTGGTATTTGTTTGTTTTCTTGAGACAGAGTCTCACTCTGTCATCCAGGATGGAGAACAGTGGCACGATCTCAGCTCACTGCAGCCTCAACCTCCCAGGCTCAGATGATCCTCCCACCTCTGCCTCCCAAGTAGCTAGGACTACAGGTGTGTACCACTATACCTGGCTAATTTTTCTATTTTTTGTAGAGATAGTATTTTGCCACGTTGCCCAGGCTGGTCTTGAACTCCTGGGCTTTAGTGATCTGTCTGCCTTGGCCTCCCAAAGTGTTGGGATTACAGGTGTGAGCCACTTTGCCACTGTGGTTTTGATTTGAATTTCTCTGATGACTAATGATGCTGTGCTTTGTGGCCATTTGTGTATCTTCGTTGGAGAAATGTCTATGTATACCCCTTGCCCATTTCAAAATTGGGTTGTCTTTTTATTATTGACGTTTTCTTTGTTTTTTTTTTT